GTGTCAACCTCTTCCAACCAGGAAGGATTTAACCAACAGATCCAAGGCAGTTGCCAGGGGAGATCCAGATTCTCTAATCAGTTGTTTTGGGAACAGAAGGAACAGGCAGACAACAATTTTCCCTCTGCCTGAATGTCTGCTGATACTCTCAAGGTGGCGAATCCAAATCAGGTGTGGACACATATCGCTGAGCCGATTCATCAGCTTTCTCCAAGATCAATTCCATCTGGCCAGCAAAGTCCAGGGACCACAGCCGGCCCACGACCCTCCGTAAAACCACTTGCAGACCAAGCCCAGCTCGCTCAAGGCACAACGTCTGAGTGCTGATAGAATACAACCGTCCATCCAGTTGGTCAGTCAGCCAGAAAGTGCAAAGCCACCGACGTTGTTTTGTAGAACACCAGGAGACCACCCAGCCAAACTGTAGAATCCAGTGATCAGAGTCCAAATGTACAGTATATCCAGAACAGAGAAGAACAGAGGTCCCACCCTCGACATGTCCTCCCATGGAAGCAAAAAACTAAACTTTGTTCCAAAAATTTTATTTGTTCCAAAAATTTTATTGAGAGACCAGCTAACCAAGTTCATAAAATAAGTTATATTGAGTCACATTAATATAAGATGTTCATTTTTGGTCACACTCTGCCTCATCAAAAAGATTCCTAAGTTTTGAAGACTTTGACTTAAAAAGTGAGCATTAAAACAATATAAAGTCAAATTACTCTTAGAATCAATCGTTAGTCAAATGCTGATCAGTAAAATTATGATAGTAATAAGGTTTACCAATCAAAACTCTTCAACAACAACAACATTTGAAGTGTTTCAAAAATATAGGATTTCTTCTCTAAATTATTATAACTCTTTATAAAAAAATACACTGAAATTAATGGTTTCAGATTTGAGTAAATGTGACAAGAATACGTATTTAAACTATAAATAAATAAATGATTGGTTTCTCTGAAAAAAAAAGACAGAAATAAAATATCTTTGATGCATTATCTTCCTCCCATGTGTGGATTGTAATTTATTTTCTGTAAAGATTGTCTATTTTCTTTTGCAGAGTTCAGTTTGTGTACAGTTATGGTTTATCGAGCGATCTGATTTATTACTGTGACCTTTCAGGAGTAAAGTGATTTGTGACTGTTGGGTATTTTTTTATTGATTGTTATGCAGGTAATCAGTTTAGGGAGAAAAATAATGATCATAATAAAAATAATCAGCAGATATCTGCTCCCACAACAAAGCCACACATTGTTGCAAGTTTAATTTCTTTATACATTTAAAAGGATTTTTGGAAGTTGAATTTCAGAGCCAATATGATCCTACCTGTTGTAGTTTGCTAGTAACGGCTAATTCAAGCAAAGCTAAGACAAAGTGAACTATTTTCTCAAATAAAAATCTCAAAATATGTTGTAGCTTATGGTAATTAGAAAAAGACTGCAATATGGGGAAATAGGAAACTTAAAAATGTTTTTTTCACCTTGTCACTTTGCTAAAAAAATCTTTTTTTTTCAAGTTTGTCAAAAAAGACACACTCTAAAAATGAAATGTTGGATTTACTTAACCATGTTATGTGACCTGGTTCCACTTAACTGAGTTGAGTAAATTCAAAGCAACATGCTCATGTTCTTTGGTTAAAAAACTGGTATATTGCTTTGAATTTACTCAACTCAGTTAAGTGGAACCAGGTCACATAACATGGTTAAGTAAATCCAACATTTCGTTTTTTACAGTGCAGAAAATGTAACAAGGTATACATTTGTTGGTTATGGTTTTTTTTGTTTCCTAAAATTTTGAATATATGGGCAATAATTTTAGAATGGTTTCAACTTCAAAATGAATATAATTGGCTAAGATCAGCAAAGTTCCTAGAAAAAAAACCTAATTGAAGCTCATCCTATCCTTTTAAATTCATATTATAGCATTCTTTAAAAATGCATATCCTACTGCCCGCAGAATCTTTAAAGTAGCTTGCAAGAGCTGTTAATACTGTAGGAGTTCTCTGCTCCTCCGCTCTGGCTCCGCCCACTTACACCTGTTCCCCGTTTCATTAAGCATATCTCCCTGGCCCATTCATAGCCTTTTTTCTCACTATTTTTCAGCGTTGCTGTGCATTTTTAAGGCCATATCTGGTTTTCCTTCATAGTTCCTCAAGTTCTTTTAATCTAAAGTTTTTGCTGCCTTTTTTTTCATTTAATAAATCTAAAAATTCAAGTTTTTCTCCAGGCTTTTTGTGTTTCTATCTATACAAAATTAGACAAAAATGACTAAGTTAGTGTTAGTGCTCGAGTGAGTTTTTTTAGACTGAAAACTCAACTCATACAAAGAGGGAGGACCATGTGTGACTGTAACACAATGTTGTGTGTGTGTGTTTGTGTGTGTTGGTGTGTGTGAGCGGAACCATCATCCAGGCGCAGGCAAAACACGAGTATCCTATTCATTATTCATGTCATTGCAGTTGCCCTGTTAAGATCCAGTCCTGTTTGGAGTGGGCTCCCTGATTTGTTCAGCGCGTCCGTCAGAAGCGGTGCGTGGCCCCTGCGTCGGCTGGGCCGCGCGCGCTCATAGGTCGGGCCCGGGAAGAATCCGAGTCYGGGAGGAGAGGGGGGGCGGGGAGCGAGCTTCAGTGTACGGCTGCCTGTACGAGACTGTGCGTCGCAAGGAGGGGGAGAGGTCCAGCTGTAGGAAAAAAAAAAAAGAGAAAAATACCAAAAAATAAAAAAGAGGAAAAGACACGCCGTGACAATGGCAAACGTGTAGTTAAAAAAAAAAAAAAAAAGAAGGGCCGGCAGCGAGCGAAAGGGGTGGAGCGCCGCGAAGCAGGAGTTTATTTTTTCTTTATTTTTTTTTTTCCCCTATATACATATTTTTTTGGTGGATTTTAAGAAACGGCGACGGCTCAAGGAAGCTCCACCGCTCGTCCCGAGAAAAGCCACGGTTCCGACAGGAGACGCGCTGGTCCCGCTGCTCGGGCGGATAGGAGGAGGAAAAAATGGAGCGGCGGCGGAGAGGAGAGCCGCGCTGCCTCCATCACTGAGAGGCGCGTCCAAGCCTGCTTCTACCCGGGGAGGAGAGGAGAGGAGAGGAGGCCCGGGCTGCTGCTGCTGCTGCTGCTGCTGGAGGAGCAGGAGGAGGAGGAGGAGGGTGCAGGGGAGGGGTGGGGGGTGGACATGCAGGGGAACTGTTTGCATTTCGGGGAAAGACGCATCTCTCCTGTCCAGAGCAGCTGAGGAGGATCCCACTGCGACAGGAGGAAAAAAACAAACAAAAAAAACCCCCCAAAAACACCGAGAGGGAAAAATAAACAAATCACACCATAACGCATGTTTGGACGCTCTGGAGGTAGGCAAAGCCAAATCGTTTTCATTCAGCGTGTGTCTCCCATTAGGTGTGCACATGATGACAGCTTGATTCACACACTGGTTTCCATTTACCTGATCTGCTCGGATCGGACATTTTCTTTCTGCTCCAAACGGAGAACACACCATCCATGCATGCGATGTAACAGTAGCTCTCTCTCTCTCTTTCTCTCCATCTCTCTCTCTCTCTCTGGGACAGCTGTCGTAGCCTACATTCATCCATCGATTACCCCATTCCCTTGTCGAAAAAATGACCCCCCCCCCCACACACACACACACTCTCTCTCTCTCTACCTCAAGCACGAGGCTCCTTCTGACCAGGTGGGCTTTAAAGCCTCAGAAATTCAACGTAGACACAGATGCCACGTGTGCCCCCCCACCTCCATCGAATCCARGGCAGCCTATGTGTCCTGCTCTGCCTGCATGTTTTGGAGACAAACAGTGGCCTGTGTGTGGACGTCATTTTGAATCAAACCTTCTGCAGCCTGAACAGTGCTGCCCCAGTATGAAGAAGGGATGCATAAGGGTGGTGGTGGTGGTGGTGGTGGTGGGGGATCTATAGTCCAAAAGCGCTGAATGATTCATGATGGGGAATATTGAAACCTAATGGGATAACACATCATCTTACAGTTAGGCCCCTCCGCCGAGATGAGGTAAATAAATGATTCATAAACACTTTAGAAGCAAGATGTTCTTAACAAACCGGTCCAGAGTGCACACAGGTGTGCCTATAGGCATTTGTGAATGCCTGCACTGTGGGGTCACTAGATCAGTAGCTTAGTGTGTGTCGTCCCCCCCACAAGGATGCTTCATGACAGATGTTTACTGGAAGTACCAGTCAGCCACACACGGCCAGCAGCAGCATTCTTAAAAATAATGAGCTGCAGCACTCAATAGCAGCCTGTCTGCTTGGTTGTGTGGAGGTGTAACTCTGTAGTAAAAAGCATTTTAATTGGAACGCATTTGAACAACAAGGAAACAAAAGCCTCGCGGATGCTTTTTTTCCCTTTTCTTTTCCTTTTTTTTTGGGGGGGGGGGTGCATGTCTATTAGAGATTCAAAACAATAGAAATAAAATACTGTGATATTAACTATGATGATAATCGTGATATTGCTGATTATAATGGTAATATCAAATATTGTGACAATTGCGAAATAGCTGATTATAGTGATAATATCAAACGTGAACCATGATTTCCTCACTCATTTCATTCTCTTCTTCCATTTCATTCCCTACAGCACTTCCTGTTTTAGCACTGTGGCTTCTGTTACCTAACCATACAACACCAAGCATGTTTTGCTGTCTTGGCGATATTTAATATTGTGATACATGTGAAAATCATGATTTTATTGGCAATTTGACCACATTTTCTAACATTTCTTATTCTTCATGACAATGCTTACAAGTCTCATCAGTATCATCTAACCATCCAACTTGAAAACGTGTTTTGCAATTTTGCAATACTGAAATTGCGATACTTCTGTAACAATAATATTGTTATTTGTGATAAATCCATTTTCCCCAGCACAATCCTCCTGACACGCTCCCTGTGATTTAAAATCTTGATCTATACCATCCGATCGTCCAACTCGCAACTGTTTAACACATTCTCACTCCCGACTGGTCACATATTGATGCTTTTCCAAGGTTCCCTCTGCGTCTTATTTTTGACGTGTCAGGTACACCCGTTGCATCAGTTATTGACGCACCAGGCATTTCCGTGTTCCCTGGGCATTCGGGTTTGACGCGTTGGGATGCAAAATATAGGGGGTCTTTGAGTTGGGGTCTGTGGTTAATGTATTAGGGATCAGGGTTCATGGTTAATTTTAAGGAGTGTGGTCAGGGATAAGATGTCTAGGGCGAATATTAAGTAATTTTAGGCTTTGGAACACGTAGTTGACGTCAATTTCCTACACTTTCTAAAAATGGTTAATTTTAAGGATCAGGGTTGATGGTTAATTTTAGGTACTAGGGTCAGGGACAAGATGTCTAGAGCGAATAAAGGTAATTTTTATGCTTTGGGACGGTTAGTTTTTGTGCATTTTCTACACTTTCTGAAATTATTACAACGGATTCCGCCCCATCTCGTCAATAACTGACGCGAGGGGGGTACCTGACGCGTCAAAATTGAATGCAGAGGGAACCTTGAAAAAGTGTCAATATGTGACGACTTGGGAGTGAGAATGGGCTGGTTTCTTAGAGCCTTTTGCATTATCCAATAGTAGAGGTGTAACATTACATCAGTCCATATCGATACATTGATTAAATGACTAATGGTTCTGTTACATCAATCTATCCATGTCATCATTAGAGCTGGGCAGTGTGACCCAAATTTTATATCACGGTATTTTCAACAATTACACCGGTTTGACAGTATTTGAACATATTTTTTTTCATCACAGCTCAGCTGATCATAAAATGTACTGTTATTGACTTTTTTCTTTTACTGTATCTCTGTTTGGCTGGTTCCCTTCTCTTGTACGCCATTTCTTTGCCTGGTTGTAGACAGTAATCATACATTTTGGTCCGATCGTGAAGGGTTGAGAAAAGATCATTATCGCATCTATTGTTGTCTGTTGATAAAACTTAAAAGGACYACTCACCTTGCACACCAGTCAACTCAGCTCTACTACAAAACTACTTCCCCCCAGGCTTTTCACAATAGAACCACATTAAAGTCTCCATGCATTAACATCTCCATTACAACATTGCATGTTAAATCTAACCGTGCACGTCACTGAAGAGTTGTTTTCTAAATTCAGCGATGGTGAAAARGGGATGTTTTTTTTACTTCAGTCAATAGAAGCAGCTGAAACACCACCCTTCAACAGTTACTTCAACAAGCTGCTCCAATAATAACATTAGCATGCTAATGCACATAGCGATGCRGCAAAGAAAAGTGTCCCCCGGGATGTAGTTCACTGGCGGTCACGACGAAACGTTACAAATGTGTTCCGGCTATTTAAACCAGTYTGTCCGGTATTCAGAAAATTCATATCATAACAAAAATAAAAACCAGTTTTTGGCACAAAACTGTAWACCGCCCAGCACTAGTCATCATCATATGCCCATCTAACACAATCATTTACTAAATGATTGTGTTAGATGTGTCAATGATATCYRATCATATCYATCYCAGACTTGTGAATTGAATCAAAATTGTACCATGACAGACTTTGWGATAGAGAAACATCGWATGATGATTCATATGACCCATATCCAATACTGCCAAATATCATCATCACATCAAAATAAATTCTGATCGCTCATCTCCTCTTTGTCCATCATAATGCTCATAACACTCCATGTGTTCAGTATCTCCACTACTATCATCTCACCATCCAACTCCATGTTTTGCACTCATTTGTGATTTTGATWTTGCGATATTGACATTGTGATGCATTGAATATCATGATAATCATATCATTTGTGATTAACCAACATTTTCTTTTCATCATTTTCTTTTCTCTCATCGGAATGCCACAAAACTCTTTGTTTGTTAACATTTCAAAAAAATTCATCAAAACATTCAACTCCAAACTATGTTTTAATATCTTTTATTATTTTTATATCTGCACTATTACTGAATATTACAATATTAGTTGGGATAAATCTACATTTTTCTCTCATTCTCTTCCTACTCGATAGCAAAATCTTGTGTTTTAAGCACTTACATCACATTGTCTAACAATCTTTCTCGCAAATAGGTTTTGCATTATTTTGCTATATTGATATTATGCAGATTGGTTTTGTGATGGTGATACATTTTTGATAAATTGGGCTACCCTAATGTCAACATCTATTTTGAATTAGAGATGAGGCAGTTTATCCTCACGGGTTCTGTGCACTGACCTGACATGGTTTGGATTTTATGCAGCCTTTGCAGCCAACTTGATGAGGTACTTTTGACTTTTCAGCTCATTCTGAGTTCTCTTTTGAGCATTTGCCTGAAGAACACATAATGTTGAACCTCAGGAGCATTCACGTGGTGGGGGGTGACCACTCAGTCTGCCTTTTCCTTCTCTAATGTGAAGGCAGCAGTGGAAACCAGACTGAAGGCCGTGCATTGATTGAGTCAAAGAGAGCCTATAAGAGGGACAAATTGAGTTGACACATTCATGTTGGTGTCATTATCACATGTGACGGTGCAGCTTGCTATTGGGCACAAGGCTGTGTGACAAAACGGAGGGGAGATGCCGGCCTTGTTTGAAGATCATAAATGTGGAAACTATGATTGCCATCACACGGCGAGATGTGCCACGCCGAGAGAGGCACGAGGATTTGCCGTTCCTTCTCCTCCTCCTGGTCACTCTCATTGCTTTCACTAAAAAAAGGGCCATTTTCTGCTCAGTTTAAATTGGGTGAAGAATTGAGCTGGCGACACATTACGGCACCACAGCCCTGTTCCCCTGTAGCGAGGACAGGATTTTGTGGAAATGGTTTTAAAATGCTGTCGAAATACTATGTTGCAGCAATAAAACCTGCAGCTTGTGTACATAGTCTCTTATCTTCCTGTGTCCATGTGTGCTGTGTGGCTTCTCTTCTTCTCCAGCCCTCGGGCACACGTGTCAGGACTCTGTTATTGCAGAGAAATCCTCAATCTCGCCGAGGCTGATCCTCATCAACTTTTACTTACAAGCGGCCTTATTATTCATGGATCGCGCCTTTGATTAATATTTGACACGCTGCATGTTGGGATCACTTTGAAGCCGTATAGGTGGTGGTGGTTGGGGGTGCTAACCCTGCAGTATCACACACAAGTTTCACTTTTTCGGACTTTTACTAGGTGACAGCTTCTCATTAGGTGTACAGGAAAAAAAAGGGGCTTCCCTTGGCTGTGTGGACCCCCTGCTGTGTTATATGACTGGAGCGCCACAGTTTTCTCTGCTCACTTCATGGCCACGAGCACSTCGGGGTCTGTCTCAGGCTAGGTAGAAGCACGCTGAGCCCATCAGGACCAGTTGCATTATATCAGGCCACTGT